CCAAGTCCATATATAACTAGCAATATTTATATGTATTTTCTGAAACATGGGTGAAATAGTGGTGTAATAAAGCATGCCTATAAATGGCTTTTGTGATTAGTGCTATTTTTTATTTATTGCACATTAATTTGTAGAAATTAATCTGAATTAACTATTATGTATAAGATATCACCGGATGGGTTTAGTTTACACGAAAGATGTATTTATTGTGAAATTGTAATTGTTAGAAATTCTATTGCTCTAACTACTGTGCTGTGAGCTGAAGAGTCAATTTTTACACTAAAAAAAAATCGACTGAAATAATTCACACGGTCTCTTTTGGGTTTTTACAAAAGTTCTATTATTTAAGGTGCCACGCTACACTTCCATCCAGAATTTGTCTCAAAATATATCGAGATGTAGGTACATTTCGACATCTTTTAGTGCTATCATTTGTTATTAACTTTTCTGTATAAATATTAACGGCTGCTTCACTTTCATGATATTTCTATCCACGTCTTCATTGACATCTGTTTTTTCATAGAACTCGATTTATTGACTTAATCACCCATATTTATAACATATATCTTTTTATTAGGTATAATTTGTTTATCCACAATAATTGAAACCTTAGGTCATTTGGTTCATATTGCATTTATTTATTTCTAACATACTTTATGTTAGGCAGAGAGGACGCATGCTCATATAAGTATCAGTACTTCCTCTCGGAGACATTTGTTGCCTACTGTTGTTTTACTGTTCTTATCTCGTAGTCTTGTTCCTGTTAAACCATTTAGTATTCCAAACAGAATTGGGGAGATCCGACAAGTCTGTGTTTTGCTTTTCCAGATGATTCTGAGAACGGCCGATAACTTTAATTTTGTTATCTCTGTATTTAAGACATAAGAGGTACTTCGTCTGCACTCCTAAATATAAACACAGAGAGCGCTCGATAAATTCTATCACATTTACGTCATGGCAACTTCTGTACAATTTATTAGTGTCTAACGTAATCTGAGGGTTCTGCACTTCTTGAATAAGTTTTTTTTGTCAATTATTTTATATTTAATTTTATTATAATTATTTATTATGTATTTATTATACATTATTATTAATTTATTATAATATTATTAATTATTAGTAAAGTAAATTTAGCAATTATTGGTAAAAGCATATTTTTTTATTATTTTTCCATAAAACCATAATTTTTAATTCTTGTTTTTTATTTATTAACTTTATTCTTTAATTTTCTTTTTTTTTTGTATTTAACAAATGTTTCAGTTTACTTTTAATTCTACTAACATATTTTTTTGAGTTGATTTTAGGTCTCTTTATAAGCCACTATATTGACTTTTATGATACTTCGAAGCATTATATTTTTTAGATTTTACTTTCTTCCTAACACTCTTTCACAATCTAAATACAATGAGTTCTTCTTTATTCTCTGGCTGGACGGAATATTTTCGCTGCAAAGGTTATATGAAAAATACTTATAAAGAAACTGATATTGATTACGAGTATTCAATATCTACATTTAAACAGTGGACCCGAAATTCTTTAATTGTTCTTTATTCTCTGACATCAAAATCTATAAATATTTGTGAAGGGACAATTTGAGTTTCGGGAACAGGAAAAAGTCGCACTTGAGGTAGTCTCACATTAACAGCTGCTGTAAACAAATTAATTGAACAGATGGCGCTCAAATTTGTACCATATGTCAAGAAAGGGTGTACCAACATAACAAAATTTTTGAAAAAGGTCTATTACTTAAGGAGTAGTTAACAAACAACAAAATCCGGATACTTTTTGAGCAGAAGGTATGCAAAACGCAAGAGGTTCCTCTCTTTTGATGCCAACTAAATCTATGTATAACTCTGTAAAATCCAGATTCCAAAACAAAAAAAAAACAAAAAAAATGACCAAAAAGTTGATTTTTGTAGCCAATCACAGTGTTATTATGGATCACCAATGTATGAGGACAAGTCTAATTAAATTCATAGACTTGCAAAAAAAATAAAACTAAGTAATGCAAGATAGAACAAAATATGTTAGTTTGGTATATTTCTACTTACATAAGATTGTGTTTTACTAGAAAAGAAATCCAACATAACTGTCATAAAGTTATGTATTTATAATCTCTGTATAAGAAAAAGACTTGAAGAATATTAAATCAAAATGAGAGAGGCAGGGGACTGAATACAAATACGTTATATACAGTATACAGAATACGTTATTGCAGTCATGTTATATGTGATACATATAGCTCATCTTCTTTAATATAGATAAAATACAATAATCCATATGTGCACATTCTATATAACAACATACTATATAGCATGTAGAATATCAATAATTTTCCTAATATAAAAATACCGATGCACGCGATTCGTTGTCGCATCTAGAATGAAGATTTAGAATGCTAATTCACATATATTCAGACTGGCTGGACATTTTAGCAACAGAAGTTATATGACAAATTATTATTTCTTATACA